TTTTAACCGAATAAAATAATTCATTTCAGAATGTCCCAATGTTCTCTTGTCACGTGTACATGCACAATGGCTATTTCACTTCTGATGCCATTTCCACAGTACCTGCAGAATAAACTACCTCACTTCGGATGCACAATCATCTCTTCTACGGGTTTTCATTTTCTGATTATTTGATGTGCGTGCCATGACGACAGCAACGGTATCGTCGCACCAACCCCATGGCCATTTGCGGAGCCAGCGACGGGGCTGCCATTTTGGAAAAGGCGTGGGACGATGTCAAAATTAGCGGGATCCGCTTCACTCTTTGGCAATTACCCCGATGAATGAATTCCGGAGTAAATGTGTTAACCTGAACCTGGGTCTGCTTCTAGAGAACTGCGGACAAAAGCAACCAGCGAAGTCCCAAACACTTTATTCTCTAATTAATTTCTTATTTCTTCTTGCAAAACAAATCATCCTCACCTTCTACGTAATCTCCCCCCCCCCACACATATATACACACACCTAGACACACAAAAGAGCACCAGGAACACCAGGAAAGAGGTTTCTATCTCAGTTTCAGGCCCACTTTTGGAATTTCAAAGGAGCGGTGAAAGGGACCATTCTATCTACCCCTGAATTTTCGGTATCAAAGGCGGTTCAAATCTCGAACCCAGAGGCTGGATATGGAACCTTCCCCGTTTCTCCAGCCGTGTCCCTTGAGGACCGTCCGCACCTCGGATTAAAGACAACAACCACCGCAAACCCAGTAAGCGAGAAGCGAGAGACAGGTATGTCCCAAACAGCCTAGAGGCTTCCAATCACCATATTTATTTGAAAACAAAAATCTCTACTTCGCTTGGCTACTAGACTGATATAGTGAAAATAATTACAGAGGGAACCGTCAAGAGGAGAGGGAGAGGGAGAGAGAGCCTGGATCAACTTTATTTCACGCGACAAGGAAATTCAGCGTGAACATAATACAGTCGCCCCGCGAGAGGCGTCCTTTAGCGCATGCGTGTGAGTACTTGTAAGTGGTCTCGCGAGAAATCAGCAGGGGCAAAGAGGTGCGGAGTGTGTGGGGGAAGAGAAGGGAAAGGATGGGTGAAAATGCCTTTTGTAACTTTTAAGTTTGCTTTCCGGGTTTGGAAGATTCCCAGGCACCATCACCACAATCTAAAGATCTTTGGGATAAGCGCAGAAAGATCATCTATTTATTTCAAATACACGTGTGAATTAAAGGTTTACATGGAAGCGAATTCCGATGAATACCTAGAGACCCATGCCCCTTCCGACGACACTCCTTTGAATCCATGTACAATCCATACAGCCCGTCTCTGCCCTCCCCCGGTCCTTTTGAATAATGATTTGTGCCCCTGCCTTGTTTCTCGGTCACGCCAGGTCGGTACCATATAAAACGCAACGCAGAATCCGGTTTGCCTGCAGCCATCTGAACCGGCTTTTCCTAGAGCACCTTCTGCAGAAGAGAAGCCCCACTGATATCTCGGAGATCAGCTCCTGATTCCGAGACGTTCTATTAAATCTCATAGGATGATCGAACATCGAGAGGACCAAGGACTTCCTCGGAATCGCAGTGCCAAAGTACCTGCTAACAAAGATTGGAAAGGCTTCTGTTTGCGCGCGTGCGATTGATTAAGAGCCACGGCCATTTGTCAAAACGAGACATCTAAAGGAAAGAAGCCTCTCTGGATAAAGTCAAGAAAAAAACCCTGACAATTTAGATTTAGGATGTTACTCCTTTCCCCTAAACTCCTTGTACTATTTGATGTGACAGATCACCCAATATAGGTCTTTAAAAATAGGTCACTGCATAAAGAGACTCCCAGAGAGCAATAAGAAAGGTGGGCGAGGACGCTTTTCAGCACATAAACCCTTTGACTTTGCTGCCTGGCATGAACTCAACACAGGACAAATAGCACTTTTAAATGGGCGGGTGTGTGTGTGTGTGTGTGAGGGTGGGCTTTCTCTGGTGGCAGCAGATGGCATCAAAAGCCAATCGGCCAGGGGTTATATGAGTACCGAAAAAAGGGGGTAGGTGAGAAGAAATAAAGACGTGAAATCCGCCGTAACCTCCTCTGTAATTCAGGTGGTGGGTTAGCATACCCTGAACCTTTACTTCACAGATCGCAAGCTACCTTTTTTTAGTTTGCCGTACTTAATGAGGGCGCCTGTTTGGACCCACAGTCATTGGCTTAACCCCTTCTCCATCTTATTCATAATCCGGAGCAGGCAGCAAGGGAATTCTTGGATTCGTCACTTTTTCAGTACTCTGTGAGTTCCAGGGAATAATGGGTTGAAATGGCTTTGAAGAGAATTAATTACCCTGCTTTAAATCCTATCTTAATCCGAAGCCTTGGTGTGGAACAGAAATCGCGTCTCTTCCTCCCCACCCGCCACCTCCCTTTATTTTTTTAAAAAAATAATTTTTACTCCCCCCCCCAGTCCGTTTCTTTGTTCCCCCTTGAAAGACTCCCATATTTTACAGGAATAGTTAAATATATGCCTTCGATGTCGTGTGCAGAGCTGGAGAGATTCAAAGCCTCTCCGAGCTTCGTCGGAGCGGTGGCGTTAAAATACAGCTCTTGTGTCTTTTGTTGGGCTTCGCAAAGGAAGGTGTAGAAGAGATTTATTGAATTTTAGCTTAACAGACATGAAGTTTCACGGGCAGATCATAAATAAGCAGGGAAGGGGACTGGGGAATTGAAGGTTTCCTCCAGTACCAAAGCCTAGGCGTGAAATGGGGCGGGGGGGGGATGCGAGGAGGGTGATTCCAGGTAATCGTTTGTGGAAAAAAGTCACTCACCAGAACGACAAACACTGAAGGTGCAAGAGGTTCATTCAGCTTTGCTGGCATTCTGGAATGTTCCTCTGCGCCCCCCCCCCCCGCTCCCTTCCCGGGAGCCAATCTGGTTGCGATTTCAAAGGAAGGAGGGATGGTGGGGGGTCAAAACCCGATTTAGGTAAGTAGTGTCACCTGAAATTGTGAGAGCTCTTCGTTTATAAACAAAGGGCCTTGAGAACGAATACCTCAACAGGCATCGTAACATAGCTACTGTACAACACCAGCCTTCGCAGCCCTTTCCTCCTCTCGAAAGTGACCGTTCCCTTGTCAGATTTAACTAGATGCTAAAAATCTTACAAAAAGGACTTTGCCTCCAAAGGAGGATCATAATTTGGAAGTCGACGCTTTCATATTTTTCTCTCTTTTCAAAGCCAAGAGCAACCAACGAAAATGGGTTTCCCTCCCCCCCGCCCTCCTCTGAAAGCGAGCGAGTGGGAGAGCGGTGTCCCAGATAAACCTCCCCAGCCCCTCTGGATCCTTTATCACCTTCTGATCTGCCTTAGCCCATTCAGCCAGCCTTCACGAAAAGCAAGAAATGACACGGCCCCTCTGGGCTCCAAGTCCTTCACCTCCAAGTGCAGTATTTCTACTTAAGCTTTTGTGGAAGCGGTAAAAAAGAAAGGGGGGGGGTATTGTGGGAGAGAAAGGCGGGGGAAACCTTCCTTGTCAGGATCATCTGGAGTTTTTAAGAGAAATGAAATATCTCCCTTCCGTTCTTTGGTGGCCCTTTTCTCTTGAATTATAGCAGGAGCTACAGGAGGACTGCTCGTTCTCGTTTGCTTTCCCTCTGCTGTCCTCAAGGTATTACCAGGGATGATATATTTTCTAAAGCTTATGCTCAGCTCTTTGAATGTACTATGCGGGAAATGATGTAGTAGTATTAGCAGCAACAGCAGCAACAATAATAGTAATAATGATAATCTAGTGAAGGCAATGTACGGAAAATAAATTGGTCACAAAGCGGCAGGAACCAAGAACACTAGTAAGAATATTGTGGAAGTAAAGTAAAAAAAAAAAAAGATTAGAGATTGCTCTGTCACTTAGATCTGGACACAAACACTATAGAAATATATGAAACAATTCATTAATTTTTTAAACGAGAATCAAAACAAACAACCCCCTCCCCCTAAAGAAATAGACAAAATTTGCTTTTGAATTAGTCCAGTCATACACTATACAATGGGAGAGAAGTAATATATCCAATAACCAGTCCTCTAAATTGTATTATTTTAGATTAAAATATATCCCGAACTGGGACTTTATTTCTGAACTCTTATTTAAAGCTTGTTAAGATTAAAATCACACAAGTTGTGGGCACGCATTGATGGAAGCTTCTCTGAGTATTGCAAATAAAAGGTACACTATTATAACTTCGGAAAATAGAATGCATAAACACGCAAAATTAGAACAAGCTTTTGACGAAAAATAATCCTTACCTTGTGATAAGTTCATTCCTTCTGCCTCTGGTTAGAAATAATGATGGTAATGATGATGATGATCATGATCTAATACAATTTCTAAAAGTCTAATAATCATCATACGGAAAGACGGGAGGGGGGAGTGGAAGCTGGAAAGGAAATATTGATGGGATTTTGGAGGGTTATTTAATTTCTCCTCCAACCACACTGTATTATCCTGATGCAATAAAGCCAGGCTGTAATGTAATTTTAAAATATATACGTCCAAGCAAATAGTGGGGACAGAATATGACAAGGGTATTTCCACATTATAATTCAAGTGGGCTCCACCTACCCTCCGCCTCCCAATTAATGGCCTAACCAAGTTGCGAGGGAGAGCCTGCATTGGCCAGACTTGAAAGGGAGCGAGGAAGAGACAGGCAGAGAGAGGGGCGAAAAGGGTCAGGATCGCCTCCCAGTCAACAATCACTTGTTAGCCAGAGTCAATTGCCTCTCGCCTCCGTCTCTCGCTGCTTTTTCTGCCCCAGCCTGAGGAAGAAGAGGCTGGTTGGGGAAGAGGCACCCCCCTCTTGCTGGAGAAGAGAGAGAGAGGGAGGGAGGGAGGGAGAGAAAGGGAGAGAGAGAGAAAGGGAGAGAGAGAGAGAGAGAGAGAGAGAGAGAGAGAGAGAGAGAGAGAGAGAGAGAGAGAGAGAGAGAGAGAGGGAGAGAAGGGGGCATCTGGAACTACTGAGGAGGGGGTGTCTCCTAAAACAGCAGCTGCGAAGATCAGAGCCAGCTAGAGAATAAAGTGGGAAAGAAGCGCCTTGGCCACCTTTTCCCTGGGCAGGACTGCAGTCCCTTGGCCGTCCAGGAAGGGCTACTCAGCCCCTCTTTTCCCCGTCGCCCCCATTCTCCCGTCCCATGGCCATCAGCCCTGCTATAGGGTAGGGGGCCGCGGTTTGGGTTAGGTTGGGGTCTGTTTTGCTTTGCCTTTTCTTTCTTTGGGCGCCCCCTTCCCTGCCTCCTCTTCGCTTTTCCGCGTTGGCGATTGCAGGAAAGGACGGCGGGGGTGTCAAACCAGACTGAGAGGAACCAGGGAGCGAAAAGGGGGTGCCTCGGTGGGGAAGGAGAGGAATCCCAAAGAGCCGGCGAGCATGACTTCCAAAGACGAGGGCAAAGCTGCCTCCGCCGAGGAACGCCGGAGAAGCCCTCTGGACCACTTGCCACCTCCGGCCAACTCCAACAAGCCCCTGACGCCCTTCAGCATCGAGGACATCCTCAACAAGCCCTCGGTGAGGAGAAGCTACACCATCTGCGGGACTGCCCACCTGCTCTCCGCCGCCGAGAAGCACCCCCCGGCCGCCCTGCCCCTTTCCAGCCGGGCGCTGCTCTCGCAGACCTCGCCTCTCTGCGCCCTCGAGGAGCTGGCCAGCAAGACCTTCAAGGGACTGGAAGTCAGCGTCCTGCAAGCGGCAGAAGGTAAGACGCGGGGCCGGACGGGCCTCCAGCCTCCTCGGGGGCGATGAGCCGAGGGTAGGTAGGACTGGGAGTTGTGGAGATGGCGTTCGTCGGAGAGCGTCCGCTAAGAACTTCCCGCCTCGGCCGGCTCGAGAAATAAGGAGTCAGGGCGAGCGGCTTCTTGGAAACAAACCCACGGGGGGCCCTCAAACGAGGAGCAGTCGCGCCTGTCTAAGACTGCCGTTCGGACGAAAGTCGGGAGGTTTTACAAACCGACCCCTTCCCTCCTGCCTCTCCCTCCCTATTTAGTCCTTGCTGGATTAAGCAACCCTGGCCTGGAATCTGGGCGACCCTGCAGCACCCCTTGGATTTCCGCCCCCACCCCCCACCCCTCCAATAGACCTATAGCGGTCCTGACGCCAGGCACCCCCGGCGGCCCGGAGACCGGCGCCTGGGAAGCGTGGGCCTCCTCTCCCTCTAGCCGGGAAGGAGAAGGGTCCAGCTGAATCTGAGCTGGCCTGTGCGCCGTCGCCGCCACACGGTTTTCGGGGGGCCTTTCCCAGAGAGCGAGGCGGAAGAGAGGCCGGGATGGGTACCTCCCTTAGGGCCGTGGGGCTCCTGTCCTTCCCTCCGGTCCTCTCGGGCCCCAGACCTGGGAGAGGGAGCCAGGGAGGCGGTCTGCGGGCGGGCGGGCGGGCGGGCGCGTTGGGTGCCTGCGGGCCCGTTGGAACGAGGGACTGAAAAGCCTTCTTCTGCCTGTTTGCAGGAAGGGATGGGATGACTATTTTTGGCCAGAGGCAGACCCCCAAGAAAAGGAGGAAATCTAGAACAGCCTTTACAAACCACCAAATCTACGAGCTGGAGAAGCGCTTTTTGTACCAGAAATATTTGTCCCCCGCTGACCGGGACCAGATAGCCCAGCAGTTGGGTTTGACCAATGCCCAAGTGATAACTTGGTTTCAGAATCGCAGGGCCAAACTCAAGCGGGACCTGGAAGAGATGAAAGCAGACGTGGAGTCTGCCAAGAAACTGGGACCCAGCAGCCAGGTGGATCTTTTAGCCATTGCTGAGCTGGAGACAACCCCCGAAGGGAGAGCCAAGTCCCGCTCCCTTTCTCCTACCCATCCCAAACATGGACTGGAAGGCAACGGGCCCCTCCAGCTCTCCCCGGCCTCTCCTCTCACGGACCAGCCGGGCAGCAGCAAGGACTGCTCGGAGGACGAAGACGTGGAAATTGACGTCGATGACTGAACGGTGACAGTGGTGATGGCGGTCCTCCTCCTCCTCCTCCTCCTCCTCCTCCTCCTCCTCCTCCTCCTCCTCCTCCTCCTCCTCCTCCTCCTCCTCTTCTCCCAGCTTTTCCTTTGCCTCGTAAACAAAAACAGGCAGAGAAATTGCCCAGGCATTTGCTCTTCTCCACCCCACCCCCCCCCCGCCCGCCCACTTCCACCTCTTGGCAAGGAGAGAACTGCGCCCCTCCACGCTTCTTCCTCAGCAGCCCCGGGGGGAGGGGGGGAACCCGCCGGACTTTAGGAGGGATTGGAACTCACTTCCTTGGCAACTCGGTTGTTTATCCCTCCAACAAAAGCAATAAGCAATATAAAATAATCACACTTGTGACCATGACAACAAGAAGGACGACGGTGATGATAGTATGAATCGATATCCCAACAGCTGCCTAAGCAGGTAGCTCTCTCATTTTTGGAACTGTGCAATTATGGGTAAATTCTGTATAAATATATTTAAGCATATGTATTGGATACTTACTTTTTTAGGGTTTTTTTTAATTAAAAATATACGTTTTTGTTGTTTATAAGAGAACTCATAACCTTGGAATAAATACCACCACTTCAATGCATTGTTAGGAAGTTATTTTGCTTTTTTTTAAAAAAAAAACTTTACTTCGTGTGAAATTTAAGTTGGACTCTGGCTAGCAGCCTTTTTCTTGCATGTTTCCTATATGCACGGTCTTTATTTAATTTATTTAATTTGGTTTATTTTATCTTTATTATTTGCTCCTATTTTTCTGAAATATTGTGGGGATATATCCTCTGTGGAAGTTTGAAAAATATACTTTTTCCCCACAACCCACAACACCTCGGATTTGATCTCAAGTGAGATTCTGCCTCATTTTATCAATTAAAAACTATTTTTACCATTTATTGCTATTGTTGCGCTTTTATTTAAGAAAAAGAAAGGCTGCCTTTTGCATTTTTATATGAAGGTGATTTCAGAAAAGAATCTACTTATTTTGTACTCTTTTTTAGAATTGTTTTGCATGCTAGAAAAATAGTAAGTCTATTATGATTGCTAATAATAATATAAATAATAAATAAAAGATCCTACCATCAACAAATGAGGATATTAGCACTATAAATATAAATGTACAGATTTTTTTCTTTGATCTGTAAAAAAATCCAGTTTTAAAGGCCTGCTTATTTAAGTTACCACAGAGACAATGTTGTGGTCTCTTAAAGTTGTACAGATGAGATTTTTCCTAAACAATAAAACCTTTAAAATTTTAATATATGGATTTTTAAGGTTTTCTTTGAGAATTAAAGTCCTTAGAAAGCCAGATGGTTTGGGATTCAAATTTAATTCCTTAAATGCTTTAAGAATAGTGAAGTTTGCTTTTAGCTACAGAAGGGTGAACAAGTTAGCTGTCTTCTGAGCTGAGTAATTATCAACAAGAATCATGCATTTCGAACCAACCATAATATGTCAAGCAGCAAAAGTAACTTTAGATGTGCCCTACATCCTAAAGAAATAATACTTTAAGATGCCTGATTGTGGGACTTATCAAATGGTGCAACTTCCATAAGAACAAAACGATAAGATTTTGAAATAAGATCTGTGTGCCTCTCTGTGTGTATTTGCACACATCTTTATTTTAAAATATAGCATAGAGGAGATACGTTTGTGAAGCAGATTTCTCTGTGTTGCATGCAGAATTATCACATTTATTCGTTAGATTCCACTTTTATCTATGAATTCATTTCTAGCAAGGTATTTTTGAAATAATGAGTTCTCTATTGCTAAACCATGCACTATTAATACGGATTTTTTTTTAAAAAGAAAATAAGTTAAATCACTTGCTTTTGTAAGGGGAGTGAGGAAAAAAAACTTACACAATACAGATTGAAAATCATGACATCCTTCCACCTAATTGTCAAAAGTGAAGTGGGGAGGGGAATCTTCAGGTAAATGTTGATTTCTTGGTTATCACTTTGGGGCCCAATGGTCTTTAATTTCCACCCTTTCCTTTTTATTCTTCTAAATCTCTCTCTTGCTGCCCAGTAACAGCTCGTTCTGTTTTTTTTGACCGTGCAACGCGTGTTTCCCCATTCTTGGTGAAATTTATGTGAGAAATACAAACCTGGCGGACCCCGCGGCCAAGAGATTGGGGGGGGGCAAAAGAGGAAGAACTGGGGGTTCCAACTAAGGGGGGGGCACCGCTAGTTTGGTGTGTGTGTCCCGGGGAGGGCTTGGGAGAGCAGTTTCTCTCAGGCGAAATCAATCTTTCTCCCCTTTGGAAATGGATGGCGTTGTAATTTTTAGCGTAAAGCATGAAAACTGGGGACAAATGAGGCCTCTTCTGTGAAGTGACAAGCGACAATGGGGCCTGCGCTGCCTCCTGCGGCTCGCCGTACTGAAAGAAGCGTGTGCCTCCGTCGTGGAAAGGACCAAACCGCTTGGAGACCATATGGTTTTTGAATTTTCCTCACCATTTCCAGACAATTTGATGGATTAGGTTAACCCTCCCTTCCACTGTTTAACTCCGCAATAATGGGAGTGGAGCTCTCCTCTCTGCCCCCCTTCGGGCCCCCCCTCCCCGCACTAGGGCATCTGTGCCTTTCGAAGGGCGCTTCCATTCTTTTCCTTTCTCTCTTGGCATTTGAAACAAGTCTATGAATTACAATGAAAGGGACTTTCTTTGGTCTTATTTGGGACAACACTTGTCTTTCTCGTCCCCTCCCCATTTTGCATCTACGGGGAGGCAGGGGTCTGTTTGCCAGGGATTTGTTTGACTCCTGTCCAGATACCACGCAAAGCCTTCAATCTTGTCCTTAAGTGTTTTTATGCTAAGCAGGCATATCGTAAAGGCTGAGAAACTGTGACATTTATGTGAAGATCTAGTTAAAGGGCTTTATTTGTTTTCTTTATTTGTTCTTTCCCTCCCCCTTCCCCCAGATTCTCTTTCTTTCTCTTTCTCTCCCTCTCCCCCCCCTTCCAGCTTTTCTTCTTTTGTCTTCGAATGGATTTAATGAGGCTGCAAAAATGCTACAATTCAACGGAAGCAAGAGATGTGGTTTGCTTTGAGAAAGAAAAGAAAAGCGAAGAGAAAAGAATGAGTGTGGGGAGAACCGAACAGGAGTTCATTTAGAGCTATTGACTCCAGGGTACAAGAGAGAGATGGAGTCAGAAACCTCACACAAGTTTTCCACACGTGGCTACAAGCAGAGTTTTGTCCGCGTTTGCAGCAGCGCGTTCTTCCAGCCTAGCAGTGGTGAGGTTTGCTCCTGTAAATTGTTTGCGCTGCTGTCAGGTAGGTGGCACAGAGAGAGTCAGAGACCCGATCCTGAGATGCCCGGTTTTCTCCAGATCCCTGTAAGTTTCTATGCATTCCTGGGGGCTTCCTGGTTCATTCGTGGCCTTCCTATCCATGCTTGCCTCTTTTCCTTTTATCTTCCAGGAAGAGAGAGAGAGAGAGAGACAGAAAAGAGGGGAGAGAGAGAGAGAGAGAGAGAGAGAGAGAGAGAGAGAGAGAGAGAGAGAGAGAGAGAGAGAGAGAGAGAGAGAGAGAGAGAGAGAAGAGAGAGAGAGAGAGAGATGGTCAAAATAAATCTATCTGGACAAGAAGAGTTTTTGTCCTTCTAGAAAGGAGGGGGGGTTACATGCCTCCTTCCATTTGTTTGCTTTTCTATTAGACTGTTCATTTCGTGGAGTCTGGATGAGGTTCCCTCTTGGTGGGTTTCTTCAACTGGATTCCGAAGAGTCCTCCGAAGAGGCAATCCGTCTTGCCTCCTTTTCTCGGAACTGACCCACACCAACTAATCAAACCGAAAAAATTACAACTAAACCGGGAAGGGGGAGGGGGAGGCGGCGGGAGCGAAGGTTATTTCGATATATCTCCTGTTGCCCCAGCTCGAAGCTGACGGGTTATATATTTTCCGAGACTGGCGGAGATTTGTGAAAAGGGGGAATTCAGGCCATTAAGAGACATCTTGACACCAAGGCGTGCCAAAGTTGAGTGAATGTTTGAGGGAGACTTTCATCACTTGCCAAAAAAAGGGCGGCGGGGAGGAGCGCTGGGCGCTTTGGAAGCCAACCAGATGATGTCCACGACAAAAGCGGCCAGATCTGAGGGAGGCCGAGTTTTCTGCGTTGGGGAGAAGAAGGAATTAGATGAAAGGGGCACTTTGCCCGCTCAGTTTTTCTCTAGCGTGAATTTAGCTATCGCTGGCGAGTCGGGACGAGCAAAATCCCCAGAAACGGCCGGGGTCAATCGGTCGTGAAATCTATGAACGTGAACGTGCGACTTGAAGCGCACTTAGGCATAGAAAATCCCACTGAACTTCACTGGAGACGGCCCAATACAAAGGTGCCGCAGGGCAGCGAAACCGCGGAAGAGATAAGAGCGAGAACCCCCTTTGCGCCAGGATCTAAAGGGGTCTTGGTTACTCTGTGAGTGTTTAGGATCAGAGCCCTGCAGCTGACTCTGTGTAGCCTGTCCGTGAAACTGATAGCCTTGGCACCAAAAAGAAAGAACTAATAAATATTATCCTTTTAAAAAGAGCTCAGAGAAGCACTTGCAAGGCTGTCCTGGGATCTCCGTTCTCCCAGTTCCCGGGAGCAAGGGGAGTCCAGGATTCCTTTCCACAGCCACAGGCCCCGCCTAATGTCTTCAAGTTGCAAGAGCCCTGCCGCCAGCGGCGCCTTGTCTTCTCGCCGCTGCCGCCCCTTTTCCTTGGTTCCCCCCACCCTCCCCGCCATCTCCTCCTGCGGGAGCCTAATCCTGCTCTGAGCCGGCTCGCTGGGAGGAGCGGGGAGGGAGGCGCGTTGGGCGCGTCATCTGGCATCGCCGCTTCCCCCTCGAGTCTCTGCGCTCGGCGAAGCGGCGGCGGCGGTCGCGCGGGGGGTCATTGGCTCTTGTACGACGCGCTAGATTAGCTTCCCATTCCGTGTTGGGAGCGCGTGTTTAGCCCACGGAATCTGCGCTAGGCGTTGTTCTCCACCAGCCGGTGTACTTCCGCGGGCTGCCTCCGGGACTGCCCCCCTGCT